ATCACCTTATTGAGATATACCTTATCTTAGGAACTGCAGATTAAGGAAGCAAACTTGTTTTCCAGTCCCTGTTCCCGGTCTTTCCTGTCCCTCCCATAAAGGCGTTATCGCACATCACACACTTGCTTTATCAGAACCGTCAGATGAAAGGCACAAAGGCAGAGCGCTCCAGTTTGAGGTTCCCGAGGTGTCAAAACTCCTACGATTTGATGCAAGAATATTTGATTAAGTTATCAAGGAAGCCCCCAAAGATGTAGGCTGATCCTTGCTGAGACGGTGGTGGGCGGACTTTTGCCGGGGTAGGACCTTCCAGGCGGTCAGGCCAGCTCTCTCTACCTCCCGTGGGTGACCCCAGACGGTGACTAACACCTTTGGTGGCCTCGGTCTGTGGTCGCTAAATCAGCGAACGTTATTCTCTGACCGGGCTGCCTAGATAGCGGCTGGACCACACGGACCACAAAGCTTCCTCGTTGTACAAGGGCAAGTGCAGAAACAGAACTGGTTCGGTTGCGGCTCGCTTGTGGGAGAGGCGAGCGGTGGCGAGCCGCCAGCCAAGCCAGAGGTACGTCTGTGACACGGTGCCGAGAAGAGCTGAGAGAAATGGTGCTTTCTGATAAACTCCCGATTAAAAGATGGCTGGAATTCTGAGAAAGGCTCTTCTGTCATCCGAATCCCTCCCCGTTGAGGAACACAGACACCATTGTCTTGAAAACAAATAGCATCACGTTAAAAGAAAAAAGAACAGCACTATCAATTTTTTTTTTTTTTCCTTCTGTTGGGAAACGCTTCAAATTTCATTTGACTCCTGGGCTCAGAAGGAACGTTCAACCAAAACCACAAATTAACTTGGCCCGATAATAAACAAAAGGTGAAATCTGACGAAGGACTGGGATTGCCGAGATCGACTTTGCACGAGGGGTTTTTTGGGGTTTTTTTTAACCTTTCACTGACTGTCCATTAATTTGCTCTCTAGTCTTACACCGCCACCCTCCACTTCGGAGCCCAAGGAGCCGCAAACATCAGCTGCGCTAACGAGGTCCTGCATCGATAGCAGCCTCCGGAAAGTTTCCATCTCACTCCAAAACACTTTCTGGATTACATTACACCTTCATTTCCTCCGGGTAGAAAGACTTCCAACTGACCTAAGCCGCTTCAGAAGCCGGCTCTGTAGCTGAACGCTCCTTAGCGAAAACGTTTTACTCCTTTCTGCCAGCTTTGTCCTAAGCCACGAGCGCTCTGTTGATCCGGAACAGCTCAGCTGGTGCGCACGCTCCAAATTTGGTACTTTGGCGTCATTTGAACACTTACCCATTTTCAGTCATTTTCGCTCACGGCGCCTATTGGATATCGGCTTTTGAGTCTTTCACCTAATAAAGTAACTGCGTGATGTGTCACAATGACCAGCTGAAACCATCTCTTATACAAATTAAGGATGCTAATAAACAGATAATGGGCACAGCCTTCAGTGTTAACCAGAAAACACCCATTTATCCCATTTTTGCTTGCTGGGTAACACTTTATCATTTAACCGGATACTTTTCTGTTTCTTCCTTCACTGCAAAGAGCAAATTTGAACACAACTTAGTTTATCCTCTACTCACTCCTTACAGTTTAATATAAATTGTTGACTAAGTGTGCTCCAGCCCTTCTACGTCTGTGGAGACTGCTTCTCAAACAAGCCTTGAAAATATCGATCTCCCTTTGGAAAGTCAAGTCCCCTTTCTTGCAGTAACATTGGGTTTTGACCTGGTTATCAGCCACGCTACGGACAAATTGTTCTTGATTAAACCATAGGGTATCTCTTAGGATTCATATGACTCGTATTTATTATACAACAGTCAACAGGCCTCACGTGGCGTGTGTCTCCGGCAGGGACGAGAGGTGCCTTTCCTGAGACATGCGCCTGGATCGCAGCACTTCTGTTAACAGCTGGGTGACCTTGCCCAGCCGTCCGCGGCCTCCTTCACGTTCCTCTCCCCTCAGCGCCCCGAGCACGTCCCATCCGGCAACGCGGAGCTTTTCCTCATCCTAACACAATCCTCAGCCCCGCTCGCGTCTGCGGGAATGCGGAAGTACGGGTGGAAAAGCGGAGGCTGGCTTCGCGTAGAGGGTGACGGGATCAGAGCTTCCGCTGTCTCGTGCTGCTCAGGAACTTTCCTGTTTCACGCGAGGAAGAGCTAACGCAGGTATTCCAGAGGGATTTGCTTTCATCTCTTGGTTCCGGCTATGCCACCTGAAAAAAAACCCGCCGTTGTATGAATTTTTGGCACGTTGCTGAGGTCTGTACGTACTGCCTCGGCGCAGCGATATCTCAGCCCACAGCTAAGCACTCTGTATCCATTATCTCACCTCCTCTGCTTCTCTGTCCTCTCTTCTCTCGCACTTCCATCAACTCTTATCTCCCATCTCCAGCTCTGCTACACCTTTACTGCCACTTCCCTCTCCACGCTCACTTTGCCTCCATCCCTTTACCCGTCAAGGCAGTTTTAATTGAATTTTCATTTCTCACAGGGCTGGACTTATCAGGATTACGGCCAACAGAATTCCGAGTCACCCGAAACAACAGGCGTTTGAGTGCTGGTAACACCAGCTTCTACTCAGCACGAGACGACCTGCGGAGAACAACGTGGCTTCGCAGCGGCTCTCCTTGCTCTTAAACCTCCGCAAAACACGAGCTGCAGGAGGAGGCTGCCTGCGTGGGAGGCCCCGGCTGCAAGGCGCTGATGAGGTCATGACAAGGCAGAAACTGCTTCAAATCTCACTGTAAATCCAACCCAAACCCGCTACGCCTGAATTTCAACCAGCTGCCTGCTCTGTACGCGACGCTAAGCTTTGTTGTAATGCTCTCCTTTTAACTCTTGTCATAATGATTAATCTCGCCTAATCTTTGTCTGTGGCTCTACGGCTTTCCGCTTTTCTGAACGAGCCGGTGAAGACAAAAGTGTCCACGCAGCAGCTGCTGCTCAGGGCTCAGGGGGAGACTTTGAATCAACGTACAGAAGAACCGCAGAGCTGCCCTCACCGCTCCAAACCTCGATGGCCCTGAGGGCAGGCAGGGCGACCGGGGGGGGGGCGCGGGGAGGGGGGGGGGGGGCGGGGGCGGGGGGGGGGGGGAGAACGGGTGCTCGCCGGCAGCCGGGAAGAGCAGCTCCTGCTTTACCGTCCCTGGGCTGACACGTGAAGCTGAACGGACCCGTTGCTTGCAGTGCTCAAGCTCACGCCGGAGTCGGGCAACGCTGCCGGCCGTACCCAGGTTAATTGCCATGGTGTTGGAAGGCCGGGGTCAGGACGCGTCAATAGTAACACAAAATAATTTAGCAGACTGCCAATCCTTCCAGGAAGGCGCAGAAGAAAAACCCAATTAGAGTCAGTCATAAGGGAGGCAGCTGGGGGAAGGTACCAGAGTGTCGGGGCAGGCCCCACGCGCCGCAAACACGGGGGACGTAAAGGCTCAAGCAGGCCGTAGCTCGAGGAGAGCTACACCGGCAGGAGA